CAAGACATTCACTTTGTTTTAGTCATCAATACCTTTTTAGTGGAAAAAATACTACACACACTGGTGGGGTTACATCTCCTCCATCAACTGCGTCACCATCTGCGGGGGGTATGTCACCAGGACATGAATTTCATCGTTCCTCTGTTTCTTTCGGTACATCACTTAATTTTGTTCTAGGATCTAACCAAGCAGGAGCTGATGTTAGCCGAAGTACAAGTGCACTTTTTGTAAGCGGGCAATTGCATTCACCTTCAGTCTCTGCAAGCCCTTTACTAGGAGGAAATTGGGGTGGATGGCAATCATTATTAATGAATACCCCAACGAGTCCAACAACAACAGCCTCTTATGCTATGGGTGGTGCTGCACGATTACATGGAAACGCAGGTATAGTAAATGTTTCACCAGCAAGAAAAGAATTACCAATGCTTTTACAAACACTTTGTTGTTACCTAAGCCTTACAGGATCTCCTATTATCAGTACTAATATGGATCCTCCTGTGGATGCACGTAAAGGTCCACTTATAGGTGTAGGTGGATTTGCAAAAGTATATGCAGGTGTGGATTGTGTTACTGGTAGGTTAATAGCCATTAAAGAAATTAATATTGCAGAAGTTAATGATCATTCTGCATTAAATGCTATTGGAAAAGAATTTGGATTACTTAAATCATTACGACATCCAAATATTGTTTCATATCAACTTTTTGAACACAGTGCTTCACAAAAAGTATGTCGGATTGTTATGGAACTTCTTACAGGTGGATCAACTTTGGGTTTATTAGAAAGATATGGACCATTACGAGAACCTATATTACGTAGATTTGCTCGTCATTTACTTCAAGCCATAGCGTTTATTCATAAGGAAGGTATATATCATCGTGATATTAAACCTGCTAATATATTAGTTAGCCATGATGGAGTTGTGAAACTTTGTGATTTTGGATGTAGTAAACGTGTTAATGAATTAAGTAAATCAACAAGTTGTGTGATCGGAACTCCATTATATATGGCACCTGAATTTATTAAAGGTGAAGCAAATCATAAATCTGATATTTGGTCTATGGCCTGTTCACTTTTTGAATTGGGAACAGGATTACTCCCATGGCATCATGCCGGAGTTCGTGATAATCTTCCACTTATGTTTTATATTACTACTACAAGTGAAACTCCACTTGTACTGCCCCCACAGAGCGAAATGCAAAACTTTAGTCCAGAGTTTATGGACTTTATGGGACAGTGTTTCATTCGAAATGTGGATCGTCGACCGGAGGCTGCAGAATTATTACATCATCCATGGATCACTGGTAAGCGAGTGGGAACACCAGAGATTTCTTCTCCCATTCCAGGAGGAAATTACAGTCAGAATTTACACCCATGGACAGGTTCTTTGGATGAAGAAGTGTTGTGTCAGCATGAACTAGAGGATGTGGCTGCTAATATCTCTGTTGAAATGTGTAGTACATGGTTGGGAACTAACGACAGAGCTCGTTTTTCATCATCACCAGCTCCACCAGTGGTCCTTCGACAAGAACAACAACAACAGCAACAACAACAAGTGGATTTTGCTGGAAGACATGATGAACTTTTACAACATACACTTGAACATCATCCATTAGATTCACAGGCAACCACAACGAATAGTGGTTGTCCGAGTCCTGCGGTGAGTTCACGTTGTGGAGGTTTAGCTCCTATAAGTCCAACCATCTCCTTGGATGCGGCATTACATGATAACTTTAATTATACCGTTCCATTGGGGTCATCAGCTGGATGTTTCGTACTTCCATCATGTAATTCACCAGCCACACCACTGGTAACACCACAGTATTTACGTATTAATGCAGATGGAAATCTCGATTTTGCTGTTGCTGAAGAAGATTTGGTGGAAATGGGAGTTGATGGAGATGACCTTTTTGCAAGTTCTTACCGACAACAATTTAATCGTACACCAAGTTTCAGTCTTGCATTTGGAACTGGTTCTCCTGTTGGGAGCGGGGGAAATACGTTTCAGTCATCCTCACAGCAAAACCATCTTCATGTTAGTAGTAGTACTAATAATATAACTAATAGTAATGCTAATACTAATAGCCATTCTTTAGGGCGTAGTCCAGCTGGACGACGTACTCAACGTGTTTCTATGGTGCGTGATCAAAGTCTGTCATTAATTTCAGGATCTTCGTTTGCCTCCCGTGGTGTTTCTCCATCCCGTCGCTCACAAGCCGCCTCAACAGCTTCTTTAACCACATCGCAACAACTTCCAAGTCTGTTAGTGATGGCTGGTTCAAACTCTTTCCAACCAGGTGCCTCTACAAATCATAGTAGTGACGATGCCGCAGGAGATAAACAAGGAGTTCCTCTATCTGCTTCTACTTCACGTCTTCCAGATGGTGTTAAACTTGATGGACATGGACGTTTACATATGTCACTTTCTGTACCTGCTGGAACGGCTGAGCGTTCTGTTAATATAGCGCTTAGTATTGATCCTGAGGATGTACAGTGCAAGATGATTGATCAGCGTCCAAGTTATGTGGTTTCACTTAGTGAGGATGTTAAAACACAACTTACAGCGAAAATGTATGAGTTAGCATCTAGTGAATCAAGCAGCCCAAGAGATGGTCAAATGAGTGAAATGATGCATGGTCCTCGTCGTGACTATTCTCGCAGTACATATGGAACTAGTAGTATGTGTGTCTCACCCAAGTCGGTATCACCATCTATTTCACCTGCACGTCGTTCATTCGGAACTGGACCTTATATGCGATACTCCCCACGACAAAAACGAGGAAGTATTGGTAGTCGTACTGGAGGTGGTAGAACTCCTGGAATGTATGGAGGCAGTAACACTAATAATAATAGTCCAGTTGGTTCAAGCATATCTGTAGCACATTCATCGTCAAATGGAGGTAACAAGACACCACCATATTTGTAGTATTAATCCTCTAGAAAAAAAAAAAAAAATAGTATTTGTGTTCTTGTTGTTATTGATGATGATGATGTTGTTCTTCTTTATCTTATTACGAATATGGGTAATAGAGTAACGAATCCCATGACGGAATGTATGTATGTAATTATGATTTCTTATTTTTATTTTTGCTATTTTCCTTCATTTGCTTAGTAATGGAAAGAGAAAAGAAAAAAAAAAAAAGAATTGAAGAAAGATGAAATACAAAAATGAATGGTATCTGGGAATATTTAGACATGAGAGAATATATAATTATAATTTTTATGGGTAAGTGAATTATTATTGTCATTTTTATATTTATGATTTGTATTTCATTTTTTTTTTTTTTTTCACAGAAGAAACGAAAGGAATGGAAGGGAGTAATGTGTACTTTTTCCTTCTTTATATACATTTACATATATATAGGTGAAAAAATTATATGATAATTATACATTTTTATATACGAAGAATTTTTCTGTGACAATGTGATTTGTACATTTTTACCTCTCTTCTGTTTTTTGATTTGCCAGCCAACCATCGTTACGATGAACGTTGCATGTATCCTTTTCTTCTTTCTTGGTCGCATACAGAAATATCTAGTAATTTTTTTTTCTCTGTTGACCATTTGTTATAATGGGCGAGAATATGAACAAAATGAACATAAAATATGATACTATTAGTAAACATTTCCCTTAATGAAACTTGATATTGCATAATGAAAACAAAAAAAAAAGGGATTTGTATTGTTCATAAGAACATATATATATAGATATATATATATTCTTAATTTTATGATTGTTTTTCATTTTTGCTTCTGTTTCCATTTGCTTTTTTTCTTTTTGTGCGTTTGGCATAGGATAGGAAGAGAATGCGCGGTAGTGGGGAGCACGTTTACCTTTGTTTCTGTCGTTTCATATGTTTTTTTTTTTGTTTTTCTACCGTAATCTTTTCTTTTTTTTTTCATATTCCCTTTCAGAAACTTTTTCCATGTGCGATTCGTTTATTACCGTTGGATTATACTCACTTTTCTTTGGGCAATGCTAGAACCCCTTATTTTTGCATTTCTATCCGTCTATCTATCTACCTGTCTTGTTGTTGTTTTTTTTTTTTTCTTTTTTGTTTTTCTTCATCATCTTTAGAGAAAGGAGAAATTGTGCATTGACACAAACCATAAACACGCGTCAGGTAATAATTTACACACCTCTCCAGATATTACACGAATGGACTCTTTTGTTGCCGGTGCCGCAGCCGGTCTTGTAGTGGATCTTACACTTTATCCTATTGATACTATCAAGACACGTCTGCAGTCCAAACACGGCTTTCACAACGCAGGAGGGTTCCGTGGTGTCTATCGTGGTCTTAGTGCTGTTGCTGTTGGTTCCGTGCCTGGTGGGGCGGCGTTCTTTTTTAGTTATGATCTCACAAAGAAGGGACTGTTGGGATACGGTGGCCGCAATGGGGAAGAACCAAGCGCGATGTGGCGTTTTACCTCTCAGGCTATTGCCGCAATGACAGGTGAAACGGCAGCGTGTTTAACTCGTGTACCTACGGAAATGGTAAAACAACAACTTCAAGCAGGTCATCATCATAGTATATATCGTGCTCTTGTACACATTACACATCATGTACCAGCAGATACTCCACCTGAACAAGTTCCCAAACGGATACGCTGGCGTGGTCTTCCTTATCTTTTCATGGGAACTCCTATTATGTTACTACGTGAGTTACCCTTTGCGGTAGTGCAAATGTCGTGTTATGAAGGTCTCAAGGCATCACTTCGAACAGAAGAATATCCACAATTTCTTCCCTTTTGTGGAGCCTTAAGTGGAGGTATAGCGGCATTTCTCACAACACCATTAGATGTACTGAAAACACGCATCATGCTTGGACAAGTTGCGCATACAAAAGGAGCCGCGGCTTCACCACTTCGTGGATTCGCTGTTGTACGTGCGGCATTTCATGAGTTACTGCACGAGTCGCCGCGGGTGACGGACAAGTGGGGACCGGCACAACGTTTCTTTCGTGGAGTTGTACCGCGGGTGATGTGGATTTCAATAGGCGGAAGTGTTTTCTTTACAACATATGAGACCGTACGGCGTGCTTATCGTGCGATTACCACGTTCTAGGCATTGAGACGGTGTAGATAATATTAAAAATGCATCACGTTTTTTTTTTTTTTTTTCTTCTTTTTTTTTCTTCTTCTTCTTCTTCTTGCATTTCCAGCTATACTGTAAGAATAGAGAAGATATGTGAAATGATGCTGGTTTTTAAATATGGGAGAAGAGCTATGTGGAACAGTTAAAAGGGGAAAAGAAGAGATGGTTTCCTTTTTTTCTTTCTTTTGTTATTCTTGTTATTGTATTTGTATGTGTGTGTGTGTGTGTGTGTGATGAGGGAGGATGAAGAAAGGTAGTGGCAATGTAAAACCATTGGAGTTGTTGTGCACTCGAAAGATATTATGGCAAATATAGTTTGTATTTTAATTTCGAAGAATTGACAAATACAACGGAAAAAAAAAAAGAATAGAAAAAATAAAATGAAAGTAGAAAGAAATCCACATGGGGTTGTACATGCTCTGTTTCCATATATACTTATATTTGTGATGATGATCACTACTACCACTGCGTGTGGCTTTAACGGGGTCTAAAATGTTCTTTTTATTCGTTGTAATTGTGTTCAGGCCTTTCTCCCATGGTTAAGTTGTAAGAAAAAGAAAATGAGATGGGTGAACAACACAGAGAATAGTCTCTATCTATATATAAATAAAGGAAATTAACCGCGTTTACGAAGAAGACAAAGGAAAAAAAAAAAGGGCTTAAAAAAAGAGATGACTTTAAAATGTGTTATCTACAGGGTTTTTTTTTTTTTTTTCGGTGGGGGGTGGGGGAATATATAATCTGTATAATATATATAATATAATATGTATTCGTTTTGTAATGTATGCATCGTTGTGTTCATATTCCTTTTATATGCTGTAAAAGCTCCTTTCTTCAATTTATTTATTTATTTATTTTTCCTTCTTATATGTGTTTTCTTTCTTTATATTCCCTTCCAAAGACAGAAAAGTGGTAGGAAAGGCGAGAAGTACGTTTGAGGTAAAGTGAGAGTTTAGAAGAAAAAAAAAATTAGAGAGGAAGAGCTGGCCATCTATAGTAGGTCATGCGTCGCGGTAGTAATGAAAATAGTGGTGATAACCCCAATCCTGTTGGTCATCGGCAGCACCAATATCATGCTGGTTCTCAACAAGGACGTTTACCAATAGCGCCATTGTCGTCTGGTTTACAACCTGAGTCGGGTGTAACTGAAAACTTCCAACAAATATCTAATGTTCCAGTTTCCATAGAACAACAGGAACGAAATGTGGCATCTGGTTTTCATTCGTCCCAGCAAGAGCAGCAGCGTCATCATTATTATCACCATCATCATCATCATTATAATAATAATATTTATCAGCGTCAGGATTACCGTGTGCAGCAATATTCTATGGGAGCTTCTTCCTCTACAGAACACAACCGGAGACAAGCGGCAACTAACATATTTAATATTCATTTGGGTTCAACATCTGCTATGACTCTACCAACATTAGGCTTTACAAGCACTTCGCAAACGTTGTTGACTCATCGTGGATCAGATCTTCCCATACCAACGATACAGAGAGATTTGTCCCCATCGCTTCTTTCTTTCGCTAGTGGTGTTGTGAGTGACCAGAGAGGTAATGCTAGGATGGAAAGACCAACTATAATCTCGGTACAACCACCTTTATCTCCGTTTTCTGGTAAATACATTCAACCACGAGAACAACAACGTTTATCTGCAATTGTCCAGCATGATCAACGTGAAAGAGGACGTGGTAGTGAAACAGTTAGAACGGTACAACAGGATATTTCTTCTGGTATTTCCAATATTTCGGCTGAAAGTATTGTATCTACAGAAGTGTGTTATATGAGTAATATTCCCCATGAAGGGGTTCAATATCCACAACAACAACAACAATACGGACAAGAGAGGCAGCCACATTTCAGGACCAGTCCGAGCAATGCAGTGAATATCTCTCTTGGTACTTCCCTTTCAAGCGACGTCACGGTAACTCATCCTCATTCTCCCTCTTTCCAGTTAACTCAACAATTGAGGAGTATAGGAACAGGAACAGGAACAACAACAACAACAACAACAACAACAACAACAACAACTAGTGCAAGTGGTAGTAGTCCTTACAACTATGATCCTCGTCCTCGTGAAACCTCTGGTGGTGTGATCCCTACTGCTCAGCGTGGGATGGTGATGATAGGAGCAGGGAACACAAGGTCACTTGTTAGCCCTGTGGCACTCAGAATGTCTGAACAGGATGGGGTGGAAACCACAACTAGTATGAGAAGGACGGAATGGAGTCAGCATCCACATCTACCATACCCACAGCAACAAACCCAAAAAATGGTTGCATGGGGTCCTTCTTCAACTTCACAAAGTACTGCAACATTTTCCTCAGAAGGATTACCCCTTGGCACCGAATCACCAATTGTTTCTTCACAACCCTCTGCTCCTCAAACGACAATGAGTATAGGTGAGATGGCTATGTATAATTTACTTCCCCCACAACGTCCGGAACATGTTGGTCGAGCGACATGCTGCTTGGATCTTGATGATACCTTAGTTCACACCTTCATAAGTCGTCCATATTGGTGGAATCCGGCAGACAATCCACTCCATTTTGAGATAGATATTGATTGTCCTGAAGAGTATGAAAATGACCGTTTTGGTCCTTCGCATTTCACAGATACCAGTAGTGATGGTCCTTCTCCCCTCGGCACTAATGTGTCCCCTCTCCTTTCATCAGATCAGGAGCGGCGGGGAGAGGAAAATAGAGTGCATTTACGGCCTCGTGAGAAACTTTATGTTTGTATTCGTCCATATGCAGTAGAACTTATTCGTTCTTGTTTAAAAATTTTTGAGGTGGTTTTCTTCACTACAGGAACAGAGGAGTATGCCCAACAAATTTTTGATCGTATAGAACCAGAACGTGCTGCATATAGACTTTACCGACATCATTGCACAAGAATAGGGGAAAATAGCTACAAAAAGGATCTTTCACTCCTTGGTCGCTCGCTGGATCGCATAGTTTTATTTGACGATCGCGGTCCAGATGTAAGTTTCCAATCACGCAATGTTCTCTTCTGTGAACCTTTTATTCTTGAACATGTTGACGATGTATACGATCGTGTTACAAATGATAATGATTTACTTGGATATATTCCGTTTCTCGAGATACTTGGGAGGCTTCCTGCACCGAGAATGTTAATGGCTTTGATTGATTACCAAGAGGTGATGAGTTCGAGGATGAACAGAGAAATTCGGCGACATGTGCACGAGGAACCCGAAGCCGCTGCTCAGAATCCGTGAGTCTGAGAAAACTTTGGGGTGGTGGTGATGGGTCTTCGTTGGACGACTCAATGTATGTGGTGTGGGAGAGCGAGAATAAAAGATTTGAGAAGAAGAAGAAAAAAAAAAAAAGAACGATATTACCCAAACAGTGAGTTGATCGACGCGGCAGGGGTGGGGGCAAAACAAATAAACTATAAAAAAAAAGTTAACAAAAAAAAAAAAAAAACGGAAAATGTAAGGAAAACAAGAGTAAAGATGATGCACTTTTGTGGTCTGCGAGAACAGACAAGATATGCAGGGATTTCACTATCCTTCCCTCCATTAATGAATAACCAACGATATGTAGGTGGGAATAAAATAATAATATCTCGGTTTCTGCTTTTGAACGTGTATATGTATTTGTTTGTATAATTATGTATCTTTTTTTCTTCTTTGGGGTGGGTGGTGATGGTAGTTGAGTCGGATCAATTAAGAGCAGAAGTGTTTGAAAGGAAATAAAAAATAAAACATATAATGCATGGTATGCAGGCGCATGTATGCAGACATATATGTTTATATATATAATGTCTAAAGGGGGTTGATTATGAAGTTTGCTACCTTTCTATGCAGAGGGGTCCGAAAAAAAAAAAAAAAAAAGGAAAAAAAAAGACGGTCGTCGTGGAGAATACATCCGTATGTTGTATAATTTTCACATCTCTGTGGTGGTTTTAAATAAAAGAAATTAACCACATGAGTTGCTTTAATTGCGTTTCTCTATCACTTATTAGTGTACTTCATTCTCCGACGTATTGTCTTTTTCTCCCATTTTTGTTTTTATTTCCATCTGCTCATTAATTGACAGTTGCTGGCGAATATGTGAGAGTGAAAACGAGTAGCTGAAGGGGATGGGAGAGTAAAAAAAAGAGAATTAGATACTGATTTTACTTAATTGTTCGTTTTTTTTTTTTTTTTAGTTTTATGTGCGTTATGGTAATGTTGATATTGTCTCTCTGATTGTTACTCTAATGTACCCCTCTCTTGGTCTACGTGTCTCTCTCGTTCTTGTAATTTTATTGTTATTCGTTTTCGTGTCACGGCAGCCTTTCTTAATTCTCTACAATGTTCTTTATTTCCTAAATAGCTTTTTTTGGTGTATATATACGTGTATGGATATAATTTACTCTGTTGATGCTCATTGTGTTGATGCCGAGATTAGTATTTTTTCCCTGTCACCAAAGAGCAGAAAAGTATGATTGGGTAAAAAAAAAAAAAAAAAATGAGAGAGAATGGCGGTCGAAAGTAAATTGATAGGACCTTCTATTAGGATATAGATACTTGGTACTGTCATAGTTTTTGGCATAACCCCTGTATTAATATTATTATTATTATTATTATTATTATTATTATTTTCACTTTTGCAGCGATGAGGGAGTGACAGAGGAATATATCATATTCTGTATTCACCTATTCTATCAGTATCTCTCTTTCTTTCTGTGTGTGTTTGTGTCTGTGTGTCTCTGTCTTTTGTGAGTGAAGAATAAATTATAGAAAACGGAATTGTGTAATTGGGCTTATTGGTGTTTTTGTTATTGATATCGCCATTAGTTGTTTTTCTTTTTCAAAAAATTTTTGTGGGTTTTAGCCCATTTCAACGATTCCTTACCTCATAAAGGTATGGGAGAAATAATCGTTGATTCTCCACACGCTCAAACATGAGCATATAAATATATATATATATATCTTTGCTTGTCAGTTCCAGACATGCATATATGTGGGGGTTCTTTTGTTTTTTAGTGACAATCATAACTATTTTATGCGTGTTTCAACAACATTTGTACTCTTTTTTTTTGCTCTATTTCCCTCTATTTTTCTCATTATATGCTTTAACGTTTTTAATTACTTTTTTTATTTTTTCTTTTTTATGTGTTACTTTCCTAGTGAGAGAATATTTTGTGTGCTTCGTTTGTCTGTTTTTCAACACTTTGACACCTGATATCTCGTATCTCTTGCTGTTGTTGTTTGGGAGTTGGTGGTATTCACAAATGTCCGACATGTGGACTTTGGAAAAAAAAAAAAAGCCGGGAGTGAGAAGAAAATGGAATTCCATGTGTACCATTGTATTTCTTCATTTCCTTATTGTGTTTTGATGTGTGTACCCCTTATCAGTAGGTTCACTTTGGGAATGTGTTTTATTTGTTTATTTGCGTCTAAAACGAGTATATATATATATATATATATATATGAGCTGTGGCATTTTTTTTATTATATTTTTTACCTCTGATGGGTGATGGGGGTTTCGCAGTTTGTTTCCTTTTTTTTTTTTATGATTTGTTGTTCTTGAGAAAGTTTTTACCCTCTTTACTTTCTTTTTTTTCCTTTTTTTTTATATGTATGTGTGAGTGTGCTTTTGGGAATGAATGGAGGGAGAAGGATTGGTTTGTTTATCATCTTGCTCTCATTGGTCAGGGATGACATCAGCAGTTCCCAATACGCTCATTTACTTAATACTTTTCTTCTTATAACCACTTTCCGCTCTATCCTCTCTCCTTTTTTTCTCTTTTCGATTCTCTCAGTTGTTTCTTCGCCTGTTTTTTTTTTTTTTTTCACTATTGTTATTTATACAGGCAAGATTAAGAATCATATTATTCTCATTTCCACCTTTTTTTCCTTTTCATTTGCTGACTACAAATATTAATAGTTTCATTATTATTACAATGGCAAAAGCTACATATAATAATTAGGTATGTATACACCTATTTATGTAGATGTTGCTTTTTCTATTTAGAAAGACGAATGGGTGGGAAGTCGGAAATGTCGAAAGAACGAAGAAAAACGGTTGGAGAAGGTGAGAAAGTTTATTTGAATGAATTGGTGGGATAGTGAATTATTTTGTATTTCTTCCGTTTAGGTGAAAACATATGATGAGTTCCTCTAAAAGTATGATGTGGAGTGAGAATGCTCTGAGAGTTGATTTGTCAGTGGTAGGTGTAGTGTGTTTCTTTTTCCTATTTCTTTGCTAAGAAAGAGTGTTCACTGTTGTTACTACTTGGTACTATTATTAATACTAGTATTGTATATTTTATCTTCAGTGAAATATGTCTCTCCAAGTACATACATGCGTAGATAGCCATATCCACACGAATCTATATATGGGTGCACACTCACACATTCAAACATATATCTGGTCTTTTTTTTTCGAGTAGTTTCACCACCTCTTGTATTATGGTGACAACTCAAAACGTAGTTCTGTATATATATATATATATATATATATATATATATATATAATAGTCCGCGTGTTTGTCCTTATAGGTATACTTGGTTAGATCCTTATATTGAGTTCATTCACTTTTTTTCCCTTTCTTTTAACATCGCGGTTGGACGTAGAGCTGTTTTTCTCTGTGTGTCAATGTAAACCACACTTACGTGGGCAGACGAATATGGCGGCCAACCACAATATCTCGGGAAAGACGGAACCCGTATTTATGTTTTTTTCATATATTCTTCTATTTTTTTTTTTTTTTTTTCGTTGATGTTGTTGTTGTTTTTCTTTTTTTTCCTGGCGCGTGTTTATTTTTCTCTTTTTTCTTTTCTTATTTTTGTGGTTTTTTTTTTTTTTCGATTCGCTTGATTACAGAGGGACCGTTTGGTAACTCTTTCCGCTGCCGTACATGCGCAAATGCTGCATTAATTGTATCATTTATTTTTCTTATTACCTTATTGGTTAGGGTTTATTTTATTTTTTTGTATTCTTAAGTGGTGTTATTTCCTTCTCTCATTCTTATTCATATGAATTGTTGTTGTTGTTTTTTTCCCCCCTTTTTTTCTATCCTTCTTTCCTCTTCTCTCTTGTGTCTTGTAATGATAGTAATAGGAGTGTTTGTTTTGCAAGAAAAGGAGCTGAAGTGAAACCCATTCGTTTGGGGTTCCTTCGTAATTGACATTATTGGTCGTTTCACTCTCTTATCATAGTAAATTCATATATTTATATATTTATTTATTTCTGGTATAAACGTATTGGTGTTAAAGTACACGTCAAACTATTTTATACATTAATTATTTACAGTAAAAATTAGGTGAATGGCAATCGAGTTTATTCTCCTTGTAAACAAACAAGGACAAACACGGCTGGCGCAGTACTCTAGTTTCTTACCTATTGTAGAACGTACGGCTCTTGAGGGAGAAGTTGTGCGAAAGTGCCTACAACGACGCGATGTGGATTGTAATTTTCTTGAACATCTACGCTATAAACTTGTGTATCGACGATACGCTTCACTCTTCTTTATCGTTGGTGTGAACAACAAACGTGCAGCCCCAGCGGCTCTACAGGCCCCAACCACTACAACAACAGGAATAGCGGGAGTTCCCATCTCTAATAGCACTACACCCACTGCTGCTGCAGCTGCAGTAACAACAACCTCAGGAGGAGGAGGAGGAGGAGGAGGAGGAGAAACAGACGCTGGGGAAGATATTCTTCAAGAAGGAGAATTGGCGATATTTGAGTTTATTCATTTGCTAGTAGAGACATTTGATAGATACTTTGAAAATGTCTGTGAACTGGACGTTATGTTTAATGTCGAAAAGGCCCATTTCATTTTGGAAGAGATGCTCGTCAATGGCGGTATAGGGGAGACGAATAAGATGTTGATTCTTCAGTCACTGGTGTTAATGGATAAAGAACCTCGAAAAGTGTAGTTCAGTTGTTTGGGGAAGTCGAATTAATACAGAGAGAAATCTTTTCGCAACTTATTAGTTGAGACCATCACGGTTTGTGTATTTTTCTTTCGTGATGATGATACAATCTCCCTCCCTAGTGGTTACTATCGTTTTTCTTTTCTTCTTTTTTTTTTCTTTTTGGCTGATCTTTTGATGCAGAAAGAGTCGAAAAGAAGGGAGAGTTTGATTGCCTGAGAGTGGGAGGTAGAGAAGGAAAATATCTTGAAATGCTCCGTTTTTTTTTTTTCCTTGTTGTTCTCTTCTTTTTGCTCTGGAGCAATTAATCGCTTCCTTTGCTTGATATATATATATATATATATATATATATATATATTGTGAGATAATGTTGTTTATATCAAGTATTATTTTTTACCCGTTTCTTCTGTTTTTGTTGTGTTCTTAATAAATAAATAAAAAAAAGGGCAAGACAAGAAAAGGAAAAGTCAGGTATATTGTTTTTTTTTTCTTGTTTTTTTTTCTTTTCTCTTTGTGTGTGGGTGATAGTGGTAGTGGTGGTCTTTGTATTTGACCCCTAACCTTGTATAGTGTTCTTGCTTCCCTACACACATTAAGAGGCAACCATACATACATACATCTCTCCATATATATATATATATATATATATATATAGTCTATACTGAGAAATTATAAAACGCACGTGGAAAAGAGACAAAAAGAAAAAGAAAACAAGCATATTCTGTAAAAGTATAAAAGATGGTAGTGACACAGATTGGCGTTCGAACCGCCAATGATAAGGAGGAAGAGGCCCGCGAAAAGGCCCTCATGGAGGCCATCGCAAAAGAGAATGAAAATCCTTTTCAACAAGCCGCACAGGCAATCTTTGGCCTTGCTGGGAACTTGTATACCAATTATTTGTATACATCTGGTACACTGCTCCTCCTATGGACGTGGTGGGGACTTTATCCAAGTTACGCACGTTTTCGACACAAACACATTATGCGTTTTCGACGACGACGACAAGGGGAGGTGCGTCGGGCGTTGTTTTACACACGTCATATACCCAAATGGGATAAGAAGTATCTTCAGCGTATCGAATTGCCAGAATGGTCACGGGAAAGAATACCAGCAATGCCGAAATCCTTTCTGAAGATGGATACATCATTACATTCATCATCCCTGACACCAGTGCAGAATAATGCTGTCAGTGCCTCAGAACTCTCATCAGCGATTGCACACGAGAGTGGTAATAACGATTTCACCCCACTTGTTACTGCACGGACCTCAGCCGCTGCCACTTTTGCCGGTGCGGCCTGCGCCAAATCCGAGGGAATTGTCATGGCTGGCGTTGATGCCATTAATGAATCCCTTCCACATGATGCCGCAGACGTGGACGTCCACGCGCTGCAGCAACAAGTACGGGCGTTATTACAACATGCACACACAACTGTAGTGCTGCGCGAGACACACGCGACGCGGCTGTCTGTGCCGTTGGGCCGTGAAGTGTGGTGGGTCGCAGCGGATGAGGCGCGACGACGGCGTGAGTGGTGGTTTTGGATGCAAATTCTTATAGTGGCTCGCGTACTGCAGGACCTTCTAGAGATGCCAGAGATGCCAGACCTTGTCCAGTAAGGTTTATCTATCTATCTATATATATATATATATATATGTTTTTCTGTTAGGATGTGTTGTGTATTTATGAGTGTGAGAGGGTGTTATGCATATTTGGGGTGTAGGAGAGGCGACGTAGTTTGAGGAAGATTTTGAATGGAATTAACGTTGTGTCGAGGGTTACGTACACACACACACACAAAAAAAGACATGGGTGGTTTCTCTGTATATATAAACCTTGTAGAAAAAAAAAAAATAATGTATAGGTGAGATAAAGTTTTTTTCCTCGCTTTTTTCTTGTCTTATTTTTTCTCTTTTTTTTTTTTTTATCTTTTATATATACTTGGATTACTACAACTTTTTATTTTTTATTTCGTCATTCTATTTTTCTCCTTAACTAAGCTACATAAAAGGGAAAAAAAAAAAAACAAGAACAGGAAAGTGAAAAGGCAAGAATTTTGGAAAGAAAAAGTTTTACAAAAGTTTTTTTTTGTATTTGTTTTTCGTTTCATTATTTGCGAAAACGTAAAAAAGGAAAAATAATAATAGGGGAGAAAAAAAGAAAAACGTAAGCAGACGATAAAACAAAACAAAACAAAACAAAAAAAAAAAAAAAAAACACCCACAGCTGTCAATACATATACATATATATACATATAAATCCATATGTCGGACGAAGCTTCTAATTCTCACAAGTTTTGGAATACACAGCCGGTGCTGCAGCCTGGCAGTAAAGGGGCGGATCGTGTAGGACCGTTGGAGCAGCAACGGACTGTTGAAGAAGTTTCCACAGATCCACTTCCTGTTCCATCAACATGTGAGTGGTGGACACCAAACATGGAGGATGAGAATGACATGCATGCCATTTACGAACTATTACGTGATAATTATGTGGAGGATGATGATAGTATGTTTCGTTTTAATTATCAGGAATCTTTTCTTCGTTGGGCACTCACACCACCGGGGTATCATCCATCATGGCATGTGGCCGTTCGACGTAAGCGTGATCAGATGCTTTTGGGTTTTGTCTCTGGTATCCCTATTACTATGCGTATGGGTACCCCAAAACGTATTTTGAATAAGAGGAACAAGGAGACTCAAGAAGAAGGAGAAAAAGAACAAGAAGAGAAGGATAAGAATGAAGATTATCTTGAACCTCGAACTATCTGCGAAATCAATTTTTTGTGTGTACATAAATTGCTTCGTGATAAGGGTATGGCTCCTATTTTAATTCGAGAAGTGACACGTCGGGTGAATTTGTGTAATATCTGGCAAGCCGTTTACACCGCTGGTAAGATGTTACCAACACCTTTTTCCACAGGTCGGTACTTCCACCGTAGCTTAAACTGTGAAAAGCTAGTGGATATTCGCTTTAGTGGATTACCGGCTTCCTATAAAAAATTCCAGAATCCAATGGCCATGTTAAAAAGACTTTATCAAGTACCTAATACACCCAAAACTCGTGGATTACGTCCTATGGAGGCAAAGGATGTTCCTCAGGTGACGAAACTACTGCGTGATACTTTAGCCACTTATGATGTTGCTCCTGTATTTAATGAAGAGGAAGTGGCGCATTACTTTTTACCACGCGATGGGGTTTTAATTACATACGTGGTAGAACGTGAAGTGACGGGTGGTGGTAGCAGTAATCAGAAGGACCATACTCATTCTGGTGCTGTAGGAACAACTTCAGATGATACGAAACAAAATAAGGGAGAATCTAAACGGGTCACAGACTTCTTTTCATTTTTCTCTCTTCCGTCTACTGTCATTGGCAATAGCAAGTACAATATGTTGAACGCAGCATATGTGTATTATTATGCGGCCACAAGTGTTCCCTTGTCGCAGTTAATGAGTGACCTCTTAATCATTGCAAACCAAAAAGGTTTTGATGTCTGCAATTGTGTTAGTATTCTTGGAAATGGTTCTTTTGTGGAGGAACTTAAGTTCGCCTTAGGTGACGGTAGTCTGCATTATTACTTTTATAATTGGGCATATCCAAATGTGGAACCATCTGATGTTGGCTTATGCATGTTGTGAGGAGCTCTGTAGTATGTATTGACTTCTACAGGAAACTTATGGAAGAGAGGCACAACTGGAAGTTGAAGAGGGAATAGAGAGAATTACATGTGCAGATGTACATGTACACACACACACACACACACACACACACGAAACCCTCCCGAAAAAAAAAAAGTAAAACGAAAAAAAAAAAAAAAAGAATAACCCTGGAAGAGAGAAAAGTAAAAGAAAAAGAAAGAATAAATAACAAGAAAGAGGTGTAGAAGAGAGAAAGAAGGGTTTACTAAGAAGATGAAGAGCAAGAGAAATGAATAATATCTATATATGGGCATTCTCTTGTGAACTTCTATAAGATTTAAAAGAAAAAACGCTTATTACCCTGACTCTTGCTCAACTTTTTTTGTGGTTACTTTCAAAAACAAAAAAAAAAATATTCATTAGAGGGATGCTGTTTCTTTCTTAATACCCTCATGCATGCAAATATGCCAGCAAATACATTGGTGGATGTCGCATGAGTGTATTCAAGTAAAGGTAAGTGCGGGTTTCCAGGAAATAACTTTGTTTTCTGGGATGGTAATTGCACTTTGTGATGAGGTTGTGATACGTGGCTTTGTATCTTTAGTATACCCTTCTATTACTGTAAAAAAAAAAAAAAGTACTGTGAATCTGTTTCTTATTTTTTTTCTTGTACATATGCATACAGCCAATACATGATTCTATTTTTTTTTTTTTTTTTTCTTTTCTTTTTCTTCTTCTTTCCAAAGGTTGGGTGATAGGCTGGGTTCCCAACAGCACTGCAGAAATAAGATCTAAACAGAGATACCAAGAAAAAGAAAGAGAAAAAAAAAAGGCAAAAAAGTAGAGAAGAGATAAGGTATTCTTCTTACTTCTCCTCTCCCCATATTTCCTATCCTATCCTATCCTATTCTATTTCCTGTACACAACTTTCTTCTTTCCATCTATCCCTGTGTGAATGAGTGATAACGAATATGATGAGACACCTTCTCCTGTTGCTACAGTGATTGTACGACGACAGTGTTTTCCCCGTGTTCCACCCGAATTACTGTTAAGAGAACACGCGGCAAGATTTCGTTTGACGGGTCTCACGATGGCATCACTATTAGAAGCCGTTACTCCACGTGTGTATAGTGCCGTACCGCCTTTTGTGGCACAGACAGATCTTAGTGGTGAAGTCAATCACGAGTTTATTGATGTTTTACTAAAGGAAATGAGGAAAATGCCAACAGTTTCACGGGAAAATATTAAGGAATCAAGTATTACAAGGAGAAAAATTCCTCACGAAGAAGAAGATGTGAAAGGACCTTTAGGAACAATAAAATCGCATCCTAAATCATTAAATACTACACTTGGAGAAAAAGTGAATGTACAAGATGATGATGATGATGTACCATTTATATTTGAAGAAGCTAGTCCCTCTCGCATCACTGCCACTGGAATTGTAAGAAGAAAAGGTATTGTGGTTGATACGGCAGATACCAGTGGAGAGAGTATAAGTAATCCTCGTATGTCTACTAAACTTGAAACAACCATACATGATTCTGAATTAGAGGAACGTGAAATTTTATGGGGATATGATAGTGGAGCAGTGGTACATGTAACTTTACGAACCTTTGCTCTTGATCTTCAGGTATTACGACAATATGAAACTTTACAGCCAATGAGTCGTCGTCGCCGTCGTAGTAGTACTACTAGCCCAATACAAGTTGATGGGAGAGAAGGAGATATCAATGAAGACGCCAGTTATTGTTCTAGTAGTATACTATTTGAGAGAGAAGGTTCTACTGTAAAATCTGGAAAAGATGCAGATGAACATGATGATATGATTGATATTATGAAAGAACGAGCCCCATATGGTGTTTCACTTTTAGGATATCATCCTGTTGGACCTGTTTGTTGTTTAGTGTATGATACTATTAATGATCTTGCCATTTCTGGAGGAGCTGATGGTTCATTATTTGTATGGGATTTACATCAACGATATAGAGCAGGATATCGAGACCGTCATGTAAATGAAGAAGAATTACGACAAATGCGTCCCACACAACAATTCTCTACATATGTTAAAACACGAAGACTCATACAACGTCTTCGTTATGCTCATAATGGTGCTATTAGTACTCTTTCGACTCACTGTGAATTATTACTTAGTGGTGGTGTAGATGGAACTGTAAAAGTGTGGCAAATTGAACAACCACACATTCGTCCTTTTTCCTCTGGACCACCACAATATGTTGAAAGACAAGTTTTTCGCTGCCGTGGATGGGTTAGACACATTTGGTGTGCTTCTGAACGTAATGTACAGGGTGATGATATATATATTACTAGTGAAAGTGGTGATATTACATGTCTTAAAGGTTCTACAGCTTCACAACAGCCAATTGTACAATCTCCACGAGGACGACATAATATTCTCTTAGATGCTCTTCGTAAATCAGGGAGTCCAATCATCCCTCCCTATATTGGTAGTAAGAGACGGATTAAAACCTCTGTACAGTTTCCAACACTTAACTCTCTTGTAAAAGCAAAAAAGAATGAAGATGAGGGTATACTTCCAGATTTATCACCTAGCGAAAATAAAGCGTTTAAACTTCTTAATAAGGGTCTTATTTCACGAGCCCTGCGTAAAACTCGAACATTACAAACTATCAGTGAAGAAGCACGTTTGGTAAGTACCGTTGGTAATAGGTCTACTGTTCGAGAAGAGAGTACAAGCGCTATTACAAGAATTATACCTCTAGCAGAGCGTAATCTCTTTATTACTGTAGGATATAGTTCAATAGTACGATTTCTTGATATGAGTCGAAGAAGTTTAGCAGGAGTAGTAGAACATCCTTATCTTTCTGCTGCACGTGAAAAGGGTAAAGGAAAAGGTAGTGGTAGTGGTAATCATCAGCCAAATTCAATGAAAAAAGAATCAAATGATGGAGATGGTGAAGATGTACAATTTAAAACAAATAAAAATGGTACTTCTCTATTGGCTAGTTTTGGTGGTACTTCTCATGGTCCAATATCTGGTAAGAATGAAGCATTGCGTTTTATTGATGTCTTGTACGTTTCATCTTGTGATTATCTTATTTTATTAGATAATCGTAATACTGTTTTTGTATGGGATTATGCTGAAAAGAAAATATTGACCTCTTGGGTTGTTCCTCAAATGAATGAAGGTGGAAAAAATAACGTGGCTTTATCTCTATTACCATGTGGTACACGTCATTATGAAAATAGTTTTTTTCGTAGTAAGAATCGTATACAACGTCGAACACTTTATAGGCCTCAACGACGTATAGCCTGTTATTATCAACGTTCAAATGAGACGGAAAGAGATGTTAACATAGATGATGATTTAGCAGGTGTTATTAGAATTCCATTCTTTGTTGTATGTAGTAAGAGTTTAGAGTTATGTGATGTTGTGGTGGAATCTCACGCACGATTGGAATTTCAAGCACATCAAGATAACATTGTTGGAATCTTTATTCGTCCAGATCCTCTTTCATCACCTCCAAAGGATAATCATATGAAGAAGGAAACTTCAGTAAAAGCTGCTATTGTTGTGGAAAAATCTGAATCTCTTATGAAAGAAACATTAGCTACCGCAGATAATACGACTGATAAAAAAAGTGAATATAATGAAGAAATTAGGAACCCTAATGTTGGTAGTGAAAAAGGTGAGACAAAGTTACATAATAACCAAGATATATCTCTACGATTTCAAAAGTCATTTGGTAAAACAGAAGATAGTAATCGTCTTCGTGTCTTATCTTGTTCTGTAGATGGTACTATTCGTTTTTGGGGAAATATGTTTGAACCACTTCGTTCATTTGATCATAAATCAATTGCTAAGAAAAATGCAAGATATTGTACAACTACTATTCATAAACCAGTTTCATCTGGTGATACAATTTCCCCTTTTGATGCACCACCTCGTATCTTAAAAGATAAGAGAACAGGTGAAATAATTGAGGTTGAAAATGATGGTTGTGATGATACAACAAGTTTTTATTATAGTTCTCGCTGGAATTTAGCTATAACTGGACATGATGATGGTAGTATACGTTGTTGGCCTTGTAATCAACAAATGATAACATTTGTATGGCATAAACGAATTCATCGTAATGCAGTTTCTGGACTTGTGGAAGCTCGTATTGGAAAGACAGAGAAACAAAGACGTACAGAAATTCTTCAAGGGAAATCTCTTGTAGATGTTTCTGGTCATAAATTTATTGAATTACTTGCCACTGTATCGTATGATGGGTATTTAGCGGTGTGGGAACGACCGGAACAGGCAAAGATGCAGTTATTTGCACGTACTCGTGTGAGTTCGAATGAGTTACTTTGTGTGGCTTTTGAAGAAATAAATGAATTATTTATTGTGGGTGATAATAGTGGGGCAGTGAGTTCTTGGAATGCACGGGATTTGGAACCACGATGTAAAATCCCTTCACGACCAACATCACCCTGGCGACCAGTCACCACAACCAATTTCGCTTCAACAATCTCTAACATCTCCCCATCAGGTACGAGAAGTGATGATGGTAGCGCTGTTAGTTCTATAAGAACAAAACGAGTTGGACATAAAGAGGCGGTGACGGCTCTTCTTGTGGATGGAAATCTCGTTTTCTCCGGTGGTGAGGATGGACGTGTTTTTCTCTGGGATCTTAACTTTGGAGTTCTAATACGGGAATACTTTCTTCTTCACGACACAGAGGCTATTGGAATACACCGACAACGTCGAAAGAAGGAAAGTATTCCAAAGATGTATGATACCGCAATGTATAGTAATGAGAGTAATTCTCGTATCATTAAAACTACTAATCCAACTATGGGGGAAGAAAATATGCCGCGGTTTTCAAGTGAAAATGTTACTTGTATTGTTTTATTAAAACGTCGTCGCGGTGATTTTCTAGTTGCTACCCGTGAAGGTTGGATTTATCACTTTAAACAAAATGAATCTTATCCTTTTTCTACATATGAGCATAATTCTTCTATTCGATGTATGTGTGTTTTACAAGAAGGTTGGGAAAGTGAAGAAGAAGAAAGGGAAGCAAAAGGAAGAGATAATTATGTAGGAAGAAGTTCAGAGAGTAGAAGTGTGGAACTTACAGGGCTTTTTCTTCGAACCACTGATCTTGCATTTGAAGTGGCCCTTGGGTGTGAAAATGGAAAAATAGCTGTAATAAGAGAAGCTTATTTTTCAGCTACTGTGTGATATTATCTTTTTTTTTTTCTTCTTCTTCTTTTTCTTTTTCACCTTTTTTCTTATTATTGTTTGTTTCCTTCTTTATATGATGTGGAAAGATGGTGTGCGTTTTTTTTTTTTTTTTTTACAGTCTATCCGCTAATGGGGATGGGATGGGAAGAAGAAAAAGAAAAAAAAAATACTATTTCTTTTTTCTCCCTTCTGATGTATTTTGTAATATGAATTTTTTTTTCTCTTGTTGTTGTTTTTCTTTTACTTGCAAGTAATTCCACACACACTCATACACACTCCTTAAGTATATAAATGAAAGAACGAGGACGTGGTATTATCGCAAGGCGAACTTCTATTAGGACATGTACACGTCTTCGGGTATTATGTTTTGTTTGCATATTTTCTTTATGTGCATCCATGTGGATAATATCATCCAACACAATAGAAATGAATGAATTAAGAAAAAATCACACAGATACCACCTTTCATCATTGGATGGATTCCTATGTGGAAAAAGCTTCTATGATTATAAATGATCTAGATGATTCTTTACCGAATACTAGCGATGGAAATAGTAGCGAAAATAAAAATTTTTGTAATATTATGGTAAACTGGGTATGGAAAGAAGTTATTCCTTTTCGTTATAATGATGAATTTAGAGAAGTTTTACTTTCACACCGGAAAAGACATTTAGCAGTTTCTAATGGTCAACCAGAGATTGGTCAAAAGTATATTATTTGGTCTCTTAGTGGTGGTTTAGGTAATCGTATTCAGTCTTTGGGTAGTATTTTCATAGCAGCACTCTTATCTAAACGTGTACTTTTAATGAAAGATTGGTTTACACCGTTAAGATCTTCAAAGGCATCACCAATTAAACCAACATTATTACCTTTTGTAAATAGTGGGAATAAAATAGAAACATTTCGTTATGAAAATCTACGAGAGTTATTTTGGTTTTCTAATAATGAGAGTTCTCCTCGTATATCTAATGAATTTATGTTTTGTGGTTTATTCCCTATGATGTCCCTTAAAGAGTTTGAGGAAATGTATCCAAATGAGTTTAGAAAGCATGAAAATACAAAAGAAGTAGAATTATATAAAGATAGTCACGTAAAAATAGATATACGTGCTCGTCATGATAAGAAATTAAATTTATGGAAACATTTTGCTTGTACAGATCCTGAAAGTCATGAAATTGATTTTTTTTCAAAACAAAAGTTTGTTTACATTTGGACAAATCAATATTTTCTTCCTCTTTTTTATGTAAACAAACGAACAAAGAATATAATAAATAATTGGTTTTCAACAAATCCCTTTAGATCTATATTGCCTTTAATTTTTCTTCCTTCACATCCTGTTATGTTTCGTGTTTTGCAAACTATGAGGTTAAATCCTTTTTTAAAAAAACGTCAGTTTGTGGGAATGCATATTCGATCATTTAGACGAAATGAAATTTTACATCTCGTGAAATCATTTTCTTATTGTGTTAATCGTTTAATTGATGAAAGTAATTCTTTACAGAATTTCTTCTTAGCTACTATGCATAGTACGGTAAAAACATATTTTAATGATTTACCGTTAAAAGGAAAAGCCAAATTCTTTACAATTGAATCTGCGCAAACTACAGATGAGCAAAGTACTGGACAAGGTTCAGTTCAAGAGTGGGAAGCATTGACAGATGTAGTATTATTATCGTTATCGAAACATCTTTTTTTATCTCCATCTTCAACTTTTGGTTTTCTTGCTGCTGCTGCTGGGGAGATTGAATCTATTACTATTGTAAACACAAAAGAGTCATTTAATCATTTGAAAAAAGATATGTGTTCAGTACTAGATGGGAATATAGTTGGAGAACCTTGTTTTGCATCTTGGTTTAGGCTAGACTCCATAGGGCATCGTCGTCATCAAATTGGATGTGAAATGGATGAAATGCCTGCCTGGTCGCTTAAATGTGGAACTAATGGATAATAATGTATAATTTGTTTCTTTTTTTTTTGGTGGGTTTTTTTCTTTTACTTATTTGTATTATTTGCTTGTTTTTTTTTTTTTTTTTTTTATTATTATTTATTTTTGACGCCTTTGCTTTCTGTTTTTTTTTTTTTTTTGTTCTTTTTTATGCTCTATATATTTTTTATGATGTCTTTCTACTTGTTTTTGTGTGTATATATGTGTATGTTTCCTTTATGAATTTTTCTTTTTTTTTTTTTTTTCTTCTTTCATATTTCTTCATTCTATTTTAATATTTATTTATTTATTTATTTATATTTCTGTTCAATCTTAATATTAGGCCCAATAGTGTTTACCTCTAAACAAGATGGAACTGGAGGCCACTACAACAGCCACTATGGAGGAATCAGTGGATCGTTTCCAAATGGTGCGAGATCGACTGTTTGATGTTGACTACACTTGGTACACTATGCGGGCTGAAGAGAATCATTTATTATACGGTTCCTCATTAACTAGACGGCCTATTGATCGATATAAACCTCCAGAGAGAAAATTTTTTAAATGCTTTTATGATTCCTTTAGAGAACGTGATGATAAGTATCATTTATCTCTTCTGTATGATGTTATTGCAAAGGAATCCTTAGAACGAGCCACATTGAGGAGTTATGAAAGTGAGGAATTTAGTTCAATCGCTCGCCATGCTGGAGAAGTTATGCGAGTCCCGCAGTGGTGTCGTTTTTATTTTAATAAACTTCCCGTTATTGAAGCTGAAGAGATGGAGCGGCGAATGATTAAAAGTGAATTTTATTCCATGTATCTTGAGGCGGTGACTGTATTAGAGATTTTACACCGTCGAGTGATCTTATTTACAGAAGAGCCGGCAGCACGAAATAGTATTGTAGCTGCAGAGACGCATGATTGGATTGAGTGTCGACGACAGCAAGTAGAACGGGAGCGACAAGAAGAATTAGAGGAAAATGCAAGAGAACGTAAACGTCTTTTACTTTATCATGATTGGAAGAAAAAACAAGAATATCAAATTTTCTTATTTGAGCAAAGTGAACAGGAAGAACGAATGGATGTAGAAAGACTTCAACGTCTTCATATTGGTACATGGGCACAACTTTTTCATGCTGAACTTAAAGAAGCACGTTATCATCAATTAAAGTATCAACTAAGACAACGTTTATTGAATGCTGAATGTAGTCGAAATATCATGGCAGAAGAAGCCACAGAAAGATCATCCATTATGCTTTTACAAAAAGATCAATTTCGTACTCTGGAAGCGGAGGAAGTAAAGAGTTTTCTTTGGACTAGGCGTCATATGATGGTGAATGAGGCTGTAGAGGGTGAGCGTTGTGGTAATTTGACCAAAACAGTAATGTAAAGTAAAAATTATGTTTGCAAGAGATGTGACTTTGATGAGAAGTATGGAAACTCAAGTTTATTCCTATTTACTTTATACATACATATGTACATATATATATATATATATATATATGTATACAAAATCATAAAACAGAAAGAGAATAATAATAATAATATGATGAAAATATTTTAAAAGTAAATGTTATGTGTCGTGTTGTTCTTTATTTTACTTTTTTTAGTTCTTGATCTTGTTCTTGTTCTCTCCTTTCTTTTACTTGGTTACTATAATATATATGGTTACTATAATATTATTATTATAAACTGTTAGGGCTCGACAGGATGGCGGCAATACCAAATCCCTTGTCTTCTTCAAGTGATGTCTTGTCTTCCCAATTAAAAGGTGTTCGCGCTGAGCCTGGTGCATTAGTGTCGTTCCGCGACTCCCCAGCGTTTGAAATGGTAATGCGACTTAACCAGCGACACAAGGGAAAACTTGTTGCTGCTGTTCTTACAAATAATGAATCATGCGATGGAAGTAAAAATCCTTCTGATGCTCAAGTGTCAAAGAAAGAGGATAAATCTGCAGTGACACAGAGTAGTAATAATAGTGGTAGTGGTAGCGCTGAGGAACCGCGATTGATATTTGTTCCTGAGGCGTATGAGTTTTTTCTTGATAATGAGATGCAGAAATGGTTAGATCCATTTCATGGTCGTGGAGAGACCCAAAAACAGAAAAAACGTCGCTGTGAAGAAAATGAATACAGTAGTGGGGATGATGATATTATGGATGATAGTGATGGTGAGGGTATGAATTATAGCTCTTCATCCTCATGCTAATCTTCTTTTCCTCACTGTTGTTGTGTGTTTGTGTGTGTTTGTTTACTTTATTTTTTCTTTCTTCAGAAAAAGAAAGAAAGAAAAAAAAAAAAAAAAATGGACCCTTTACGTATCTGATATCAGTGATAGATGCGCACATGCACCTCTTATAATGTTATTCTTATTTATTTATTCATTTATTTATTTATGTTCTGCTCTTGAATATAAGGAAGATAAAGAGAAACAAATAGCAATCATGGTTGTCCAACGTGATCGCACGCAAGAACTGTATACACTCTTTGAGAGTACAAAACATATGGGTGGATCCGGTCTTCACGATGGGGTTGGTACTACACAAGCGGAGCAACTTCCACTTCGACCGCATGGAGGTTTACATTCTAGTAGTGAGATTCAACTATTTAATCGTTTTGCACAGGCCTTCTCAACCGATTTGGCCCGTGTCTCAGAGACTATTATGCGGTTAACAAAACTCACACAGCGTCAAAGTGTTTTTGAGGATCAGTCTTCGGAGATAACGGGACTCACACAAGTGGTGAAGTCATCTTTACAACGACTTCATACCGATTTGGAAACACTTGAGGAACTTAAAAAACGTGCATTAGAGGCACAGAAGTTAGCTGCAGCCAAATCCAGCGGTGGAGGATCTATGGAATCACACAGTTTATGGGGTGGAGGCAGAGATGCAGAATCTTTAGTTCGAGCCTCTACTAAACATACAGATACGGTTGTAGAAACATTAAAAACACGTCTTGCACGAACTGGGCAACAATTTCGAACAACACTTCAACAACAAACAAGGTCAATGAAAGATAATGCTCAACGACGTCATTTGTTTACAACAGGTGAACGACCACAAACTTTTGAAAGTGCTCTATTTCAAGATCAAGAACAACATCAACTTCAGCAGCAACAATTAATGACAGGTTCAAGTAATGTACAGTACTATAAACAACGAGCTGAGGCAGTACGAGAATTGGAAGCCACAGTTGTTGAAGTAGGTGAATTATTTAATGACTTCTCTCGTCTTGTGCATGAACAAGAAGAAGTTGTTCTTCGTATTGACACTGATGTAGACACTGCACTGCGACATGTGAACGCAGGAAGTAATGAATTAATGCGATATTTGGCAAACCTTAGTTCAAACCGTGGTCTTATACTAAAAATATTTGGTGTACTGTTCTTTTTCTTGATGTTCTTTGGATTTGTTGTTGTTCGATAAGTGTTGATATTCCTCTGAAGCATGAAAAGTAACTCACAGACTTGAATCTTTTGAGTTTCTTTTCATAGGTGTTCTTCTTATTGGTATCTTATTATTATTATTATTATTATTATTATTATTATTATTATTATTATTATTATTATTATTATTATCTCTTTTGCTTTGAAAAGACTCTTGAGAATGAGAAGACAAAGGTAAAAAAGAAAGAAGAAAAAATAAAAGAAAAAAAAAGA